TCAAAAGAAGATGTGGAATGAGGAATATCATTGCTGACGTCCAATGGAATTTAACTGAAAGCACAGAATAAAGATATTTACTTGTGCTTTATTGACTACGCAAAATCTTTTAACAGTGTAGATCATGACAAACTATGAATAACATTGTGAAGAACTGGTATTCCAGAACACTTAATTGCGCTTCTGTGAAACCTGTACATAGATCAAGAGGCAGTTGTTTGAACAAAACAGGGGTTATCAAATGGTTTAAAATTAGGAAAGGTGCACACCAGGGTTGTATCCTTTCACCATACTTATTCAATCTGTATGCTGAGCAAATAATTCAAGAAAATGGATTATCTGAAGAAAAACATCAGGATTGGAGGAAGACTCATTAACAACCTGAAATATGCAGATGATACAACCTTGCTTGTTGAAAACGAAGAAGATTTAAAATACTTACTGATGAAGATCGAAGATTATAGTCTTTATTTTAGTATGGACTGCACCTCAATATAAAGAAAACAAAAATCTTCACAACTGAACCAATAAATAACATCTTAATAAATGGAGAAAAGATTGAAGTTGTCAAAGATTTCATTGTGCTTGGATCCACCATCAACACTCATAGAAGCAGCAGTCAAAAAACCAAATGACATACTACATTAGGCAAATCTGCTGCACAAGACTTCTTTAAAACGTTCAAGAGCAAAGATACCAATTTAAGGACTAACATGTGCCTGATCCAAGCCATGGTACTTTCAATAGCCTCATATGTATGTGAAAGTTATACAATGAATAAGGTAGACCACAAAAGAACCTATGAGTTTGAATTATGCTGTTTGAGAAGAATATTAAAAATATCATGGACTGCCAGAAGAACAAACAAATCCGTGTTGGAACAAATACAGCCAGAATGCTCCTTAGAAGTCAAGGTGGTGAGACTTAGTGTCTTGTACTTTAGGCATGTTACCACGAGGGACCAGTCCCTAGAGAAGGACATCATGCTTAGTAACGTGGAGGGTCAATGGAAAAGAGGAAGACTCCCAACGAGATGGATTGACACCATTGCAGCAGCAATAGGCCCGAACAGCACCAATTGTGAGGACTGCACAGGACCAGGCAATGTTTCATTCTATTGTGAATAAGGTTGTTATGTGTGGGAGCCAACTGAAAAGCATCTAAACAACAGCTTACTTTATGGGAATGCAGTGGCTTGGTAGGATAAGCACTGGACTGTGAACCACAAAGTCAGTGGTTTGAGCCCACCAGTAGCTCTGTGGAAGAATGATGACGCTTTCTTCTTTCTGAAAAGAATTGAAGCCTAGGAAATTTTATACAGAGGTAATCTGAATCTGAACTGACTCAACGGCACATAACAACAACAACCTCACTTTATCCTCTCAAAAGCCTAAAAGATGAATACTAATCCCCACCCCTATCTGAAAGTGTATCTGATATCAGAATATCAGAAAGGTATCCTGACTTGCCCACAAGATCACACTGTGAGTAAATCACTGAGGTAAATTTCCACTCCATGGCTATCCATGGCAAAGTCAGTGCCCTAGTCACCAGGCTACAAGAATTCCAAGGAAGGAGGCTGTAGTCCAGTGGTTCTTAAATGATCCCATCCTGGACTTCATTTGTAAAGGGGGGATATACTAGATTGGGAAGAGAAGAAAGTTGGGGCAGATCCATAGGAGCTACTAAAATAACCTGTACATAGACCAAGAGGCAATGGTTGGAACCGAACAAGGGGACACTGAATGGTTTAAAATCAGGAAAGGTGTGCCCCAGGGTTGTATTCTTTCACCATATTTACTTAATCTGTACGCTGAGCAAATAATCCAAGATGATGGAATATATGAAGAAGAACACGCCAGCAGGATTGGAGGAAGACTTATTAACAACCTGTGATGTTCAATATTTACTCATGAAAATCAAAGACTCCAGCTTTCAGTGAGGGTTGCACAGCAATGTAAAGAAAACAAAAAGCCTCACAACTGGGCCAATAAATAACATCATGATAAACGGAAACGAGATTGAAGTTGTCAACGACTTCATCCACTATCAACACTTATGGAAGCAGCAGTCAAGAAATCAAGCAACATATTACACTAGGCAAATCTGCTGCCCAAGCCCTCTTTAAAATTTCCAGAGCAAAGATGTCAGTTTGAGGACTAAGGTGCACCTGACCCAAGTGAAGGTATTTTCAATAGCCTCGTATGCACATGAGTCCTGGGGTGGCGCTGTGGGTCAAGGCGCTAGACTGCAAAGCCATTTTGAACCACAAGGTCAGCGATTCAAGCTCACCAGCTGCTCCTCAGAATCCCTATACAGGATCTTTAAGGGTTGGAACTGACAATGGCACTTAACCACAACAATATGCATGTGAAAGCTGGACAATGAATAAGGAAGACCAAAGGAGAATTAATGCATTTGAGTTGTGGTGTTCAAAAAACATAAAGTACCATGGCTTTCTAGAACAGGAATGTGTTGGAAGAAGTACAGCCAGAATGCTCCTTAGAAGCCTCTCTCACACTTTGACGTATTATAAGGAGGGACCAGTCCCTGGAGAAGGGCATCATGCTTAGGTAAAGTGGAGGGCCAGCGAAAAAGAGGAAGACCCCCAACGAGATGGATTGTCAACAGCAATGGGCTCAAGTTTAGCAACGATTGTGAGGAAGGGGCATAGGGTCGCTGAGTAGGAACCGACTCAATGGCACCTAACAACAACAACAGAGGCCCGGAATGGAGGGAGGGATTAAGGACAGGATACATGCCCAAGAAAAAGTGGCAATTTAGTATTTGCACATCATTACTATCATGAGCAGGAATCGACTTGATTGCAGCAGTTTTGTTTTTGTTTTGTTTTATTTTTTCCGCACACGACTAAGAACCAGACCTAGACAACGAACACGCTTCCAAAGTCCTGCAGCCACGAATCAGATCTCTCGACTCCACCCAAGGCTTTGCGTCATCCTTTAGAGCTGCACGTCCAATCCATTCTCAGTCTTCTGCTCCTGCCTTGTATCTGCATTCGATTAGTTAAGCCTGAGATAACATGGCGGCGCCCATGTAACCCAGACGGCCGCCAGGACGCCGATTTAGCTGGGATCATAAATCACCATGCTGAGGGCGGCATGGAGGGCGCTGAGTTCCAGTCGGACTCTGGCAGTGACTCAGACCCCAATTCTTAGATTGTCAGACAGAGGGAGGGCCAGACTTCCCTCCAACCAGCGGGGCCTGCAGCCTCGAGGTGCGGGGCTGAAAAATAGGGCAGCGACAGTAGGGAAATGGGATTCGAAGTAAATGGAGAATATGAGAGGCGGGGTAGGGAAGAAGTGCAGCGGTGGGATCGGGGAGAAAAGGTAGTGGGTGCGGAAATAGGTGAGACAAGGTGGGAGACGGGCAGCGGTTAGGCGCTGAGCCGCCAAGAGCATGAAGGCAGGGTATTCAGGGGCTGTAGAAAAGCTGGACTATTTAAGAAGGTTGGTTTCTGCGTCCTCCCTTCTGTGTAGGTCTCCTCCTCCAGGCCGCCCGCGGATTTGCCATCCAGAAACCAGGTAAGAGATCTGGGCCTGGGACTGGGGTGGCCAAGGTGATGATGACGATGAGTTAATGTAGTAGACCCCGGACTCTCCTGCCCTTGCCCTCACCCGCTTAAACAAAGAACAGCATGTATCCCCCTGGCCACTCTGTGTGCACATAACAGGAAAACCGCAAGGCTGAAACAAACCCTGCAAAAATTGAATAACAGGAAGAGTGTTTAGCTGAAAAATTTCCACCCCACTGCTAGCAACACCTGCTTATGCACCAATATGTAACCAACCTGTATATAAACTCACTTTTTCTAGCACGTGAGGTCAGAATGATTTAAGCCATAGGTGACATTCTGCCTGCTGGCAATAAACTTGCTCTCCAGAGATCCGGAACTGAGTCTCTTACCCTGCGCCATGCCATAACATTAAGAGCCTCCAGATGGGGTGGGCAGAAGATCCTTTTGCCTCTTCCAAAGCTTGCACAGGAGGTAGCCGAAATGAAAATGAGCCAGCAAGGGGGTTAGGTAGCCTTTTGTGTCTCGAGGTGGAGGATGTGGTTTTCCATTCCAAGGCAGTACAGCATAGTAGTTAAGATTCCTCTTACTTCTTATTGTTGTTGTTAAGTGCCGTCCAGTCGGTTCCGACTCATAGCGACCCTGTATAGTGTTTCCAGGGAGGTTTGAACTGCCGTCCTTGTGTTTGGACAACTTACTTCTTCTTTCTGAGCCTTTTTTGTAAAACAAGTATAAAATAAACTACTGCTGGAATTCAGTAATAATATATATAAAGCATCTTTAGCTTTGTGCTATTAATAGTATGTGCTAGTGGCAGGGCAAGGAGCACTGGTAGCCTTGTAGGATAAGGACTGGACTGCTAACCAATAGGTTGGCAGTTCAAACCCACCAGCCACTTCCAAGAGAGAAAGATGAAGCTTTTTGCTCCAGTAAAGATTTACAGTCTCAGAAACCCTATACAGGGTACTGTGAGTCAGGACCAACTTAATGGTGCCTAACAACAATAACATTACTGATGAAGATCAAAGACCACAGTCTTCAGTATGGGTTGTAACTCAATGTAAAGAAAACAAAAATCCTCACCACTGGACCAATAAACAACATTCTTATCAATGGAGAAAAGATTGAAGTTGTCAAGGACTTCACTCTTCTTGGATCAACTATCAACACTCACAGAAGCAGCAGTCAAGAACTCAAACGATGTATTGCATTAGGCAAATCTGCTGCACAAGACCTTTTGAAAGCATTGAAAAGCAAAGATGTCAGCTTGAGAACTCAGGTACATCTGACCCAAGCTATGGTATTGTCAGTAACCTTATATGTATGTGAAATCTGGTCTGTGAATAAGGAAGATCGTAGAAGACTGATGCTTTTGAGTTATGGTGTTGGAGGAGAATAGTGAAAGTGCCATGGGCTGCCAAAAGAACAAACAGATCTGTGTTGGAAGAAGTACAGTAGAGTGCTCCTTGGATGCCAGGATGACCAGACTTCGTCTCACATACTTTGGACATATTGTCAGCAGGGACCAGTCATTGGAGAAGGATATCATGTTTGGTAAGGTGGAGGGTCAGAGAAAAAGAGGAAGAACCCCAACGAGATGGATTGGCCAAGTGGCAGCATTGATGGGCTCAAACATGGCAACAATTGTGAGGTTGGCCCAGGACCGGGCAGTATTTCGTTCTGTTGTGCATAGGGTTGCTATGAGTCGGTACCAACTCGATGGCACCTAACAACAACAATGACAGTAACAAGTGGCAGAGCAAGATCTGACAGCAAAGGAGAAGTTGATTCCCCCCTGCCTTCATCCTCACCTCCAGCGACGGCAGGGTTCCATATCATTCAGACATCCTAAAACTAATCTTGGTGTGGCACTGTAGAATAAGCACCAGAGTGCTAACCACAAGGCTAGCAATTCAAACCCACCAGCTGTGCCTCGGAAGCCCTCTACAGGGTCACTATGGGTCAGAATCCACTCCACGGCACTTAACAACAACAGCAACAAAAGCTAGGAGAGAGTTCCTGCACGATGCAGATAGTTAACACACTCGGTTGCTATTTGAAAGGCTAAACAGAGATTTGAAAACAGCCAGAGGTGCTCAGAAGAAAGGCCTGATGATCTACTTCCCAAAATTCAGCACAGTTCTAGTCTCCTCCGATACACGTGGGGTCGCAATGGGGTGGAATTGACTTGGTGGCAACTGGTTGAAGCTGAGGGTTCCTTCCTTAACCCTCTTATTTCATCCATGCAGTCTGCCACAAGTATTTGTTTTTAGTCTGGCCTATGGACCAATAGGCTGTGAAAGATTCAAAGGAGTCATATCTGTTCCTTCCTAGTGGGAAATCCCCTAGCTGTAGGGCCAAACCTGTGTGAGCGGGGCAGGCACTATATGGGGTCTTAGGAGAGGCCATCTACTCCAGCATGAAATATGAAGGTAAGTGGCTACAAGGTTTGCAGAGGAGACATCCCAGAGCCATCTAGTGCCTTGCTTGAGACCCTGTATGTCTCTTATATAGTCAGGGAAACAGTGAGGTGAGTGAAGTCTAGAAGAACAGATAGTGAAAGCTGGCTCCCCAGTGTCTTTTGTCAAGGAACACTCAGTTCTATAATACTGTTTCTTCTCACATCACAGTCCATTCCAGCCAAGAAGATCCATCCCCTGACACATTGCTCAAGGACTACCAGAACATCCCTGGAATTGAGAAGTAAGCAGGATGCAACCTCTTTGGGATGGCAGGGGATCCTGGGGGATTGGTGAGATAGGGAGAGGAGGGCGGGAAGACAGTGGCTTCAGGCCTGGGCTGCTGCTGTATCTGAAGCTTGTTTATAGAATAAGACAAACCGTAGAGGCACAGGCATTGTGAAGGTCAGTGGGCAGCAGGGACACAGGACTCAGCTGTAAACTGGGTAAAGGTCGGTCCAAGATACCAAGGAACTAACAAGGGTATTGGGTCTTTGTAGAAACCTTTCATTTCTTGATATTTATGACAGTCCTGTAGGGGAGCAAATAGTGTCCGGTGTCCCATTTTATAGCTTATCCAGTTGCCTAGTGTCACAGTTACCATGCAGGCTGGAACTGGGCTTTGAATTCAGGAATGACTGACAAGGCCAAGGTCCTATCATGTGCAGTGAGGACTTGGGCACACACTCCATGACCACTACAGTGCATTGTGACTTGAAAAGAAAGCAATGATTATACAATTAAAGTGTCTGCAGACAGATTGAACCATGTTCTGACTAAAATGGAAATCCTCCCTTTGAGGAGACTGGAACATGCATGCTGACCGCCTCACTTTCCTCAGTTTTTACATTGTCCCATGTTCTCAGTTTAGCAAGTCAAATCCAGGCTGATTTTGTAATCCCCGAGAAACAGCTCCCTACCTTCAGAGGGGAGACTGATTTACAGAAGACGAAATTATCTATCGTTCCTGCTTTTTAAGATGAAAATAGCATTGCCCTTCTTCCCTCTCCTCCCCTCAGCCCAGATGTTTCACTGCTATGGTTTCTCCACAGGGTTGATGATGTTGTGAGAAGACTCTTGTCTTTGGAAATGGCTAACCAGGTGAGTGGCCTTCTGTAGACAGTGGCCTTCTTCAGCCCTCTCCCCTGGGATTCTCTCCTACCCTGACACCTGGTTAACACCTTCCCCATGCCTACCCCACTCCCTGTGCTTCTCAAATCACAGCATTTAGTCTACTGTCATTCACTATCTGGGTGTTTGTGCCCCCAGAGCATCTTGAAGGAGGAATGCCGCATTCCTCATTGGATCCCTATCACCTGACAAACAGCAGACATTGATGTCTGAATGAATGGAACAGCCATCCAACAAGCCATTTCTCTCGTCAATGGCGTTGGCTTTGGACTCACCTAAATGTGACTGTTGTTGTTATGTGCCGTGGAGTCAGAACCGACTCATAGCGACCCTGTACAGGGTTTCCGAGGGTGTAAATCTTTACGGGAGTAGAAAGCCTCATCTTTCTCCCGCGGAGCAGCTGGTAGTTTCGAACTGCTGACCTTGCGGTTCACAGCCCGAGTCGTAACCACTACGCTACCAGAGCTAGCTGTGCCTAATTGCTGGGGTGGCAAACCTCACAGATTCTCTGTCTCTCGTTTCACCAGAAGGAGAAACTGGAAGTCAAAAAAGAGTTGATGATGAAAAAGATCGTGGCAAACCCTGAAGACACCAGCTCCCTGGAGGCTCGAAGTTAGTCAGGGGACCTGTTGGGAGTGAGAATGCGAAGGGAGTCTGCTAGCTGGTACCTGATCCAGCGCCCTCATCTGCAAACACACTAGGGATTAGATCTTACTTGGAAAGGGGGAGGCATGAAGGAGCAAGGGTAAAGACAACTGGACTCAGAGCCCAGGTCCTATCTCGAACTTTACTAATACCATGTGTGAGCCAAGTCCCACCCCTCCATCTCAGTGCCTGCTGCATAGTCTGGAAATTAGAACTATGTAAGTACAGTAGAGGTAGTGTCACCTACCTCATGGTGGGATTGTGAGAAGCTAGGAGGTACCACCACACGTTGGAAACACTAGAGTTCTGTGCACTGCAGAAAAGCTCTTTGATAATACTAACAAGAGCCAACATTTACTGAGCCCCTATGAGCCAGACACTGAGCTAGGAGTCTCCTTTAATTCTCCCCAACACAATGTGGTGTATACTATTTTCACTTTGATTATACAGAGAAAGAAACTGAGCATGGAATTAAGTAGCTTGTCCAAGAATACAGCTTATAAATTCTTTTAAAAACCAGTCTCCAAGTCCAGGCTTAACTCTGGGCATGTTCCTAAATGGGTAATGTTCCTACTTTGGTTTCAAGCTGGGACTAACTGTAGTCCTCATTAGTTATGAGTGAAAACACCACCCTCGTCCTCTATCCTCCCCCTTTATTTTGGGTGGAGTTTATTGGCACTGACCCCTGGGAGCACGTTGGGTAGACTTATAGACCCATAAGGGGTCTGTACGTTTCTCCCCTTTGCCTTGGCCTGTTTTAAATCCTTCCTTCTTCCCTGCCCTCCTGTCTTCACTCTTTCCTTCCCCCTCTGCTAGGGATTAGAATTGGGTGAGCCCATCCTGGGCACTAAGCCCTCAGAGAGGTCTTGGGGTCCATCTCCTAGGTATTCCATAGCTCTTTTGAGAAGATGAATTGCAGCTTTCTTTGGCCCCCAGAAGACCCAGCCTAGAGACCATCTCAACCACAAAGGCCGGTTTACTAACCTGACTGTTATCTGTTATCACCACTGAAACTCCCAGGTGGCAGGAATAGATGACCTGTTTGCCAAGATAGCAGCGGGGTGCTAAGTGTGGTCCTCCTTGACCCTAAGTATTAATGTCACTCGTGCTTTAATGCTCAATCTTCTAAAGACCAGTTGTTTCTAGCATAGTGTGTGCTCTGGAGGACTCCTTGGGAACCAAAACCCGTCTGTATCTCCAGTCTTCAACTAAGGGCTGTGACAGAGCCATGTGGTCAGAGCCAGGTTCCCTCTGCTCTCCATGTGTTCTGGGAAGGGCCTGCTTTTACCTTTGTCCTTTGGGATGCAGGGAGGGAATCAAACAAGAGAATGCCCGAAGGAAAGAGAAGCCATGGTCTTGGGAGGTGAATGGTGATGGTAGTGGTGGCTGTGTGCAGTGAGGTTGGGTTGGATTCATAGCGACTCTGTATAGGATTACTGAGGCTGTAAATCTTTACGGGAGCAGAAAGCCTCATCGTTCTCTCACGTAATGGCTCGTAGTTTGAGACTGCTGACCGTGAGATAGGAGCTGATTACTCTGAAAGCACGTTAGTGGAAGCACAGATGGAAGGAGGGGGACAGAAATGAGTAGATTGGCAGTTGCAGAATCTCCTCACAGCATCAGCCAGGACTTCCGGTGCATTGTCAGATAGCTGACCATGGTCACTTGCATCCTAGTCCAGTCCCTGAATTCAATGGGAATGCTCTCAAGTTCTACTATTAAGAATACTATTGGTTCTGGTTTGCTGGAGATACATTTATCAAGTGAAGGCAGTGCCCTAACTTCAACTTTGCTTTTTAAAGGAAAATCAACCCAAAGTCTTTTGAAACCTTGACATTGAGAATGATGGTAATATGCCATGGAATTGGTTCCAACTTACAGCGACCCTGCACAGGGTTTATGAGGCTGTGAATCTTTACAGGAGCAGAAAGCCTCCTCTGTGTCCTGCAGAACAGCTGGTAGATTTGAACTGCTGACCTTGAAGTTAGCAGCCTGACATATAACCACCACGCTCCCAGTGCTCAACTATACGTACAAGAACACTGGTGGTGGTTATTCCTTGAGCTCTGAAAACATAAACCAGGCTTGGGCCTTTCCTTCCATCGACACCTGGCTCTCATCCTCTGTGGTTTCTGGTTTCAGTTGTTGCCTTGACTGTCAAGATCCACAGTTATGAAAAACACATGCAGAAACATCGAAAGGTAAATCTTGGGCATCCCTCACACCTAAACAACGTTAGCCTGGAGGAGAGGAGTGTGGGAGGTGAAGGGGTTTGGGTCCAGAGAAGCACTCCCAAGCTGCAGTGGAAAACATTTCCCTGCCACCTTTGGTGTACTGAGTTTTACCAGTGGCGAAGAGGACAAACTTTAGAGCATAACCACTGTATCTGGCGAGCAGCGGGTACTTAGTAAACGTATGTTGCATGCATGAGTTCAGCCACTAGCCTTGGGTTCAGCTCTCAGCTTTGCCACTTGATTTGCTTTGTGAGTTTGGGCAAGTTACTCTATACATCTGAGCTTCTGTTCTCTTACCTGTAAAGGGGACACAGTGGGATAAGTGATGTCACATTGTGCAGGTTACACTCACTGATGTGAAACAAAATGTATGAATGGTTGAATGGAAAACTGATTTGCTCTGTAGACCTTTTTCACAATCAAAAGTCGGAGGTGGGGGGTAGTACACACAGAATTACATGAAATAGTCATAACAACCAACATAATGCACTACATATAAAGTATCTAGACCCTATGCCCAATATCGTGCATGCATCAGCTCATTTAACCCTTATAACCATCTTTTTATCCCATTTGTACAGAGGAATAATCTAGATACAGAGTGATTATGTTATTCTTTGAGACACCCTGCTAGGAAGTAATATGCTGGGACTTGAAATTAGGCAGTCTCACTTCAGAGCCCACATTCGAAACCCTTAGGCCATATCGCAGCACAGTGTGTGGCGGAGCTGATATAATTAGGCAATTGCTGCTCTTTTGAATAGAAGCATAGTTGTAGACTCCATGAGCTGCTCCTCGGATATCAGTTTTATTCATTTGGGCCATGGAACACCAGCCCCACTGCAGAGGCTTCTCACAGAGAAGTTCTGGCTGGTTAGGGGGTAGGGATGGGGAAGTCTCTGGGAAGAGCACTGCCCCTCCACCCAGCTGACAGTTTGCTAAGCTGTGGGGAGGCTGAGAAAGAGGGTTTTAAGGGAAAGAGCATGAGATTTGGAGTCTGATCAACAGACCCAGATTCAGGTCCCAACCTCTAGGGCCCTTTTGTGAATCAGTTAACGTCTCTGGATCTTTGTTATCTCGTCTGTAAAATGGGTATAACAATGGCAATAGCTACAGCTGAGTTGCATTCATATCATAAGATTGTTGGGCAGTTTCAGTGCGATGGTAACATGGCCATCGTTTCTAACTCTGAAGTGGCCCACAACTTATTTGATGGTGGTGGTGGTGGTTATATGCTGTGGAGTTGGTTCCGACTCATAGCGATCCTGTATAGGGTTTCTGAGGCTGTAAATCTTTACGGGAGCAGAAAGCCTCATCATTCTCCTGTGGAACAGCTAGTAATTTCAAACTGCTGACTTTGAGGTTAGCAGCCCGATTTAAGTACTAAAAGTAACACAGACTCTCTGCAGGACAAAGCCCACAAGCGCTATCTGCTCATGAGCATTGACCAAAGGAAAAAGATGCTCACAAACCTCCGTAGTACCAACTACGATGTCTTTGAGAAGACATGCCAGGGCCTTGGCATTGAGTACACCATCCCCCCTCTGTACAACCAAAAGACCCATCGCCGCTGGGTGACCAAGAAGGCGCTGTGCATTCGGGTACGAGTCAGAGGTGCTGCTTTGGCCACCTAACTCTGGGGCTGGGGTGGGAGCAGGAGAGGGGAGGTATTTGGTAGAGGCATGAAACTGACCCCAGGCCGGGAATGGACCAAGGGAAGTCCCAGGTCAAGTCCCTGGAGAAAGGTGGGGGTTAGCATCTGTAGGGCACAGATTCCACTCCACCCTGTCCATATCTGAGGTTTTACGTAACATTACAAAGTCTTTTCTTAATGCATTTCCATCCCCAGGTTTACCAGGAAGCTCAAAAACTGAAGAAGCAAAAAAGGGCCTTAAAATCTGCAGCAGCAATCGCCCAGAAACAAGGCCCAAGGAGCTCTGAGGGGCCTTCCGAAGCCAGACCGGAGGCACTCCTAGAAACTCAATAAATTTGGTTACAGTTACATCTTTCTGCCTTGAAGAATGATATAGGAGAGAGGGTGGAACTCCTTTTGGTCCAAGAACGGGGAGAGAGAAGGTGAAGAATTCCTTCCTTCAACTCTGGCATCCCAGAGTTATCTGCGACAGAGTTCTTTACCCCCCACCCCACCCCCGCTCCCCGGGGGTGGGCACTCCTCACTCTCCTGCAAACACCTTCCAAAACTAAGCACTGATCAGGGTGGGCTGGCGGGCCGCTGGGGTGGGAAAGCTAGCTGTGTGAGAGAGATAGGGTAGAGGAAGGCACCCAGGCCGCAGGAAGGACAAGTACTACAGAAGCAAGACCTCCAGGTGCATTTTGTATAGCAAGAGTCTCACAGTAGGCTGAGGAGTTTGCACACTCTCCTCTAGGAAGTGGGGAGGCCCCTAAGGTTTAACACCAAAGTTATGGTAGCTAACAAGTCTGTTTTAGATACATCAGCAGTGTGGGGGCAGATGGGAGTTGGGCGAGATCAAGCAATTTGTTGCTTAGGGATAGCCATGTTAGAACTCAGATTGAGAATGTGATAAAAAGGAAACTATACAGATACAAAACACGGTTTATCAATCCAGCTCCTAAGGTTGGTTCAAACCCACCTGTTGTTGTTATGTGGCATCCAGTCAGTACCAACCCATAGCGACTTTATGTACAGCAGAACGAAACACTGCCTGATCCTGGGCCAACCTCACTACTGTTTCCATGCTTAAGTCTATCGATGCTGCCACTGGACTAATCCATCTCGTTGGGGGTCTTTCCCTTTTTCTCTGACCCTCCACCTTACCACCTAGTACTGTGCAAAAGAAAGACCTGGTGAACTGCTTCCGTAAAGATTACAGCCAAGAAAACCCTGTGGAGCAGCTCTGCTCTAACACATGGCATTGATGCAACAGCCCACCCATATGTCCTGAGCATACTCGGCATGTAGAAGAATCCAAGGAAGAGTCTAGAACTGAGTGAGCAAAGGGAAGAGTAAGAAAAAAGTAATGTCCAACAAGTGGTTGGAAATTTAAATCCAAGACTCGGTAGAGAAATCTGAGCTGAGAGAAGTTATGTTTCAAAGTTAACTAAAGCCATGAGTGTGGGTAAAACTGATGAGGGAAGGGGTGTAGAAGAAAAAGGCCAAGCACAGGTATGGGACAAAGAACGTGGCTTGGCCTGCGAACTCTGCATCCTGAAAATAACTAGTTAAGGTGTTCTTTGTTTTTCCAAAATAGTCAAGCAAGTAGGGGGGCTCCACAGGCCTCACCTGGGACCTATAGGAAAAGGAATGAAGATATTGATTGATTAGATTGGTCATAACTAAACAGTAAGGCCTTTGAGTCACCTCTGACTCCTGTGACCCTATAAGGCAGGATAGAACTGTCCCCATAGAGTTTCCAAGGCTGTAAATCTTCATGGAAGCAGGTTGCCAGTTATTTCTCCTGTGGAGCAGCTGGTGGTTTTGAACTACTGATGATGTTTGCAGTCATGCGCTACTAAAGTTCCATATTAAAGCCTAAGGCATGCATGTTCATTGAAGTTTTAATGAGTAGGGAACCTGGGAAATTGGAGCACTCTTGGGCCTTCCAGGATTGCAGCGAATGACCATGCGTGTGAGAGGACTATCCCTGGAGACAATGGAGGCCCCGTGCCAGGAGCTCCCCCACACCTTCCTGGGAGTGTGCATGTAGCCTTTCTACTTGTGCTAAACAGGTAAGTAAGTATACACCCAGAAAACCCAGCACCATGAAGTCATTTCCAGCTCAGTGCCCTAATAGGACAAAGTAGAAGTCCATAGGATTTCGAAGGTTGGATGGTACCCTGCCATCATTACTGAATGTTTTGATCAAAGAGCCTACAGAAGAATCCTGGTCAAAATGCAGAACAGAATTTTAAATTCTCATGGACTTCAGACTTTCTGGAGGCATGAAGTTTGGATATTAAGATTAAGTATAAACAGGGAGGCTGGATGAACACCAGAAATTATTGCTCTGAGAATATCTTTAAACCTTAAAACAAAAATATGTCTTGAAGTCTTCTTAAGCCCAAACAATAGTAAAGAAATAGTACAGAATATAGGAGCCCTGGTGTCACAGTGGCTTCCACCCCTTGTCATTAAGTGCCATCAAGTATGTTCTGACTCATAGCAACGCTGCATAAGGTTTCCAAGGAGAGGCGGGTGGGTTTGAACTGCCTACCTATGGTTAGCAGTCCAGTGCTGATCCCATGGCACCAACCCTGGTTAAGTTCTTGGCTGCTATTTGAAAGGTCAGAGGTTTGAACCCACCCAAAGGCTCCTCTGGGGTCCTAAGTGGCGATGTAGGATAAGCACTGAGCTGCCAACCGAAAGGTTTGTCACACCATTCAAACCCACCAGCTGCTTCTCAGAAACCCTATTCAAGGGTGCTGTGAGTTGGAACAGACTCCATGGCACCATGAGAGAAAAGTCTGCTCCTGTCATGTTTGTTGTTGTGTGCCATCAAGTTGGTTCCAACTCACAGTAGCCTTGTATAAGATTTCTAAGAGCAGCCGGTGGATTTGAACTGCCAACCTTGTAGTTACTAATACAGTGCTTATGCTACAGCACCACATCAGGGCTCTTCCTGTTAAGACTACAGCCTAGGAAACCCTGGGGGACAATTCTACTCTGTCCTCTAGGGTGGCTCTGAGTCTGAGTGCAAAGCAACTCCATACCACCTATTAATCACAATATAGAATGCTTTGGGCAATGTGCTCTTTAAAGAACTACACACACAAAAATTTTTTCCTGTTAGTTTCCTATGGTGTGGCACTGTAGGAGAAGCCCTGGACTGCTACCCTCAAAGTCAGTGGTTCAAATCCACCATCTGCTCCTCAGAAACGCTACACAGGGTTGCTATGAGCCAGAACCAACACGAAGGCATTTAACAACTTGACATTTATGTGTGTGCACGTTATTTAAGTGGACTCATTATAGGTGAAAAATACAGCCCTTATAAGGGATCAAATTGACAATAGTTATTTAAAAGATTAAATAGGAAATTTAGAAGGCAGTGAGCTTTTAATTTAGAAAAGCAAGGTGATAATGGTTGTACAACTTGAATATAATCAATGTCGCTGTAATGTGTATATTCTCTACCACACACACATTTTTTTTTTTTCTCTTAAAGTCACACAGCCAGGAAACAGCAGAGCCAGAATTCAAACTCAGGTTCTTAGACAGGAGTCTGCTCTAAAGATATTTTGTTTGGGTTTCCCTCACTTGTGGGCTCGTGAGATCCAAGGGAAAGCGAGGATGGTGGGTAATCCTGTGAACAGAGTCGGGCTGAGACTCTGCATCCACTCCCTTCCTCCCCACCTGAGCCCTGAGCTCCGCTGTGCCGGGCCTGGGCCCTTCTACCTTGCAGTTATCCGCTGGACGCAGCACGAGACCTCGCCCTGCCAGGTCAGGATTCTTGTCCTTGTTTGTTGTTGTTGTTAGGTGCCATCGAATTGATACCGACTCATAATGACCTTATGCACAGCAGAACAAAACACTGCCCCATCCTGGGCCAACCTCACAACTGTCACCAAGTTTGAGCCCATCGATGCTGCCACTTTGCCAATCCATCTCGCTGGGAGTCTTCCTCTTTTTCTCTGACCCTCCACCTTACCAAACATGATATCCTTCTCCAGTGACTGGTTCCTCCTGACAATATGTCCAAAGTATGAGAGACGAAGTTTGGCCATCTTGGCCTCCAAGGAGCACTCTGGCTGCACTTCTTCCAACACAGATCTGTTGGTTCTTTTGGCAGCCCATAGCACTTTCAGTATTCTCCAACACCAGAACTCAAAAGCATCAATTCTTCGACGATCTTCCTTATCCACAGTCTAGCTTTCACATGCATACGAGGTTATTGAAATACCATGGCTTGAGTCAGGCGCACCTCGGTCCTCAAGCTCTTCAACATCTTTGCTCTTCAACACTTTAAAAAAGTCTTGTGCTGCAGATTTGCCTGATGCAATACATTGTTTGATTTCTTGACTGCTGCTTCAGTGAGTGTTGATAGTTGATCCAAGAAGAATGAAGTCCTTGACAACTTCAATCTTTTCTCCATTAATTAGAATGCTGTTTATTGGTCCAGTGGTGAGGATTTTTGTTTTCTTTACATTGAGATGTAATCCATACTGAAGGAAGGTTGTGCTCTTTGATCTTCATCAGTAAATACTTTAAGTCCTCTTCACTTTCAGCAAGCAAGGTTGTATCATGCTTGTCCTTGTTAAGTGCCATCAAATTGGCTCCTTCTGTAAATCCTGCAGTTAGCAGGCCACACTCAAAACCAACTTTACTCCCTCATCTGGCTGGGACCAATCCGCCTCTCTGCCACCCAGACCAATAAGCATCCGCCCTCTGCATACCTCCCACCAAACTGACTTCTGATTGGTTCACTTTTTTTAATCCGCGGCGTTGCCCTAGCAACCAAGCTACCGAGACGCGTGACGGCAGGGTCTCCAGGCCACTGGCTCACGCTCTGGGCTCCCTGTCCCTGCTCGCTTCCGGCACCATGTCCGTGAGAACGCTACCGCTGCTCTTCTTGAACTTGGGCGGGGAGATGCTTTACATCCTAGACCAGCGGCTGCGAGCCCAGAACATCCCGGGAGACAAGGCCCGCAAAGGTGAGAGGCGCCCGGCCCGCACAACTGCACGCAGCTCAGTCCCCGGCTCCTACAGCCACCTCCACAACCCGACCTAGTTAAACTCTTACCGATACAGTACTCCTGCACACTGCGTTTTTATATTAGGGACCTTTCTCAAAATCCGGGACTCTCTTACCTCTGGAGTCAACTTCCCCAAAATAACCGTTCACAGCAAATGGACTTAATACTCCGCATTGGCTATAATAATTAGGGTACCTGAGCCCCCCAATTTCCTCAGTCTCTCCTGATGAAATGTTAGCAGCTCCAGTTGCAGTATATCCTTTGTCAAATCCAGGCGTCCTCGTTACCCCCAGGGAACAGGTTCTGATTCTTCTTTCCTCTGTGTAGCATCATCTCAAATAAACTGGAGCCCAATCTTGCATATTTCAGAAGCCATTTCAAGAAATACAGTATTCTGCAATAATGCAGACAAATCAAAAAATCGTAAGGTTTTTCCATTCCCAAGTGTTGAAGGAGAGTGCAATTATATAAATAATCATATGCGAGCCTCTAAGATGTGACGCTGTAGGATAAGCACTGGACTGCTCACCACAAGGTCAGCAATTCACATCCACCTGCCGCTCTTGGAAACCCCATACAGGGTCACTGAGTCAGCAACGACTCAATGGTACACAACAAACAACAACAAGCTGGGAAATCTGGCTCCCTTAGCTCACATCCAATCTCTGAAGAAATGACCCCCAAGATCTTCTTCCATTCTTTTTCTCTCCTTCCCTTCTTTATTTCCTTCCTTTCTCTACTCCTTCCACCTTGACCCAACAACTGTGTTCACCAAGCAGTTGGAACTAAGTATGAAAGAAATATTTCAGGAAAATGAAGAAAAGTTTAGATAGAAGTAACTGATACAGCCACTATTTAAAACACTTATTCTCTCCAGCATTCTCCGGATGCTCAATTGATGTTAAACATACATATTCAGATGTTAACATACATATTCAAACATTAACTATTGTGTTGATGTGACTGAATACAAATGCTTTCATCTGAGATATGAACTCCCAATAGCATACCCCTTCTTTCATTCAGTTCTTTGCTGCCTGTAACCTTTCTAAAATGCAAATCTAGCCAAAGTCCCCCCTGCTTAAAACCCATCACCTGCCTTCCTTTTCTGTGTAGATCAAGGCCGAGTACCTGCATATCACATTTCAGGGACCTTCCTGATCTGATCTGTGTCCATCTCTGCAGTCCCATTTCCCACCACTTCCTGCCTCCTCCTCTGCATTTTAATTGTACCAAACTACTTCTGTGTTTCCATGTGAACCATGTTCATTCATATCCCCTTGCTAATAGTCCCCGATCTACCATGCTGCAGTATTCAGCTTAAGAGTCATCTCTTTCAAGAGGCCTCCCACTTGGAGAAAGTGGCCTGCCTGGAATCTCATAGCAACCTCTCTCTACCTTACCTTTGGCTCTATTCATCTGACATGATCTATGTATGTGTCTGTCTCCCCCACTTGATTCCCTTCTCTCTTGTGTTCCAGCACCCAGCGTAGTGCCTCGTCCAGAATAAATTGGTGCTCAGTACATGTTTGTTGAGGGATGATCTAAATTGACTATTTCATGTGATGTTGTCATTTCTTCCTGAAGAAGGTTCTGTTTTCCTTGGTGCCTTTGGTACTCGGCTTCATTCTAGCTAATGGCAACAGTGGACTCACGAAACCAGTGTTCTCAGATGAGTGGTCTGCATCTTGAAAAGCAGTGTAAATTAGCTGTTTCAAGAATGGTTTCTGAGCTTACACAGATCTGGCTCCCAATTCCATTTCTGCCATTTAATTCATTGTGTAACCATAGGGTATAACCTCTATGAGCCTGTCTCTTTCTCCATGAAATGGGAAAAATAAAACATATCTGAAAATGAAGTTGTAAAAATTGAATGAGATCACTTTTGCAACTTGTTTAGCACAATGAGTAGTAGGTGTCATCTCTCAAGAGGTGATCTGGGCAAGGCTCTGTGGATATGTGGGGACCAGCTTCCTTTGTCCTCAGCAACTATAGGCTTGTGTCTGTTGTTTCTAGGTTCAGCTTTAGGGATTTTCATACATCTGTAGTGTGAACTCCTATCCACACACTCATTCATCCCTTAGTTGGGGTTGAGTGTTAGACACTATGTGAGATGGCCTTCTGAGTACTCATTCCCTGGAGGCAGGATTTGAAATGGTCTGTGTGGCACTGTGGGTTAATGCACTGAACTGCAAAGTTAGTTTGAACCGCAAGGTTGGCAGTTCAAGCTCACCAGTCACTCCTCGGAAACCCTGTGCAGGATTGCTATGGGTCAGAACTGACTCGACGGTGCTTAACAACAATAACAACAATCCAGTAACTGAATTTATCATATTTACCTAATTCCACAACGACGTTTATTAAGCATTTTCTATGCCAGGGACTCCTAAATACTTTAATACCCCAGTTGACCAAGCAGGTAACTAATACTACTCTCCCCACTTTACTGGTGGGAAAACTAAGGCAAATTTGCCCAAGGTTACATAGTGATTCAAACATAGCAATGACTGTGAGGATGACATAGGACTGACTGGGCAGTGTTTTGTGCTGTTGTACACAGGGTTACGCTAAGTCAGAACCATCTCCACAGCACCTAACAACAACAACATACATAGCTGGTAAGAGAAGGAGATGAATCCAGGCAGTCGGACTTCTGAGCCCATACTCTTACCCAGTACCACCACCTGGGGAACTGGATCCAAATATTTGGTGTGTGGAGGCTGGTAGATTGAGTAGTGAGAGGAATTTAAAATATATATATATCTCCAATATACCCACTGATTTTCTAAAAATAAGTGACATAAAGTATTTGGTTGATGGAGCTGAGAGTGGAATTCAAAAACAAGAGACACTTGTTTGTCTCTTCCAGTGTCTAGGGTTGGGTGGCTGCAAAAGCAGTACCCATTGTGACAGGTCCCTTTGCACAGAGGCCTATAAAACACGAGGCCCAGTAAACTAGACCATTGTGGAAACTTAGATTGAAAATCAGATTTCTTGTAGATGTTGTCTTGATCTTATACAACTAATTGGTCTCCTGGAGGCCATCCCCATTCCCACAAGGCCATGCAAATGTTGCAGTTCCCCCCACCCCCACCTCCCCCAGTGCAGGCTCTGGTTTCGCATTCAACAGAAGGGAAATAAGTGCTCTCTCTATGGGGCAACCTCTGATGTTGCATATTGAATTTGGTCCTGTTTTAAGCAATAGGGAGAATAATAAAAACTGCCTTTGTCTCACTTCCATCATCTTAAAAATAAGCCTAAATAATTTCCCTATTACATTGTGTTTCGATTATTCCTTTTACAGAGGGGAAGTTGTCACTTATAGGCATGGAGCCACTAAGCGACTTTTTTCCCCAACGTTCAGATCATAGGATTGTATGGAGCAACAAAATAGCAGTTATAGTCTGTTTTTATTTTTCTGGTTCCCGTTTAACAGCCACCTCTGGATACCCTTGGGCCTGACTCCCGTTCAGAATATAACTAAAGTGAAATTGTCACAAACATGTCAACTGGAAAAATAATAGAAAAACAGGACATCGCTGAGCAGCTTCCCCTACGAGAGGGAGGGCTGGGAGCACACAGCCCTGCAGAGACCTCTGCTGGAGCTGGGCATCATTGCCTACGGGAGCGACTTGGCACCACTGGGCATGCATCACTAGCTCCTTTTTTGTCAACAGCAGGTAGTTCATTGTCCCTTATGTAGTTCACTGTCCCTCAGAGATGAGCCCCTTACAACAGCACTGTTCTCAAACACACCTTCAGGAGGATCGAAGTAAAAACTCCACCTCTCTGAACTCCTACCAGACCAGTGCAAGACTAAATAAATGTTCCAGAGAGGTAGATGATGCTGACAGTATGCCAAAGAAAGCAGTAACTGCTTTAGAAGGCCAGACTCTTTCTTCTGCCTCTCAAATATTTTCTCTCCAAAAGCCTGTGACTCTTGTGGGGAAGGAGACAGTAGTGGTTCAGGGGTAGAATGCATGAGAATTCTTGCCTCCCATTGAAGAGATCTGGGCTAAATTCCTGCCCAGTGTATCCCATGCTCAATGGCCACCCATCTGTCACTGGAGGCTTGTGTGGTGCTGTGATGCTGAATAGGTTTCAGCAGTGGCGCTTCCAGAATAAAACAGACTAGGAAGAAAGGCCTGACGATCTACTTGCAAAAATTCACCCGCTGGAAACCATGTGGATCGCAGTGGTCCTATTCCCTTGTGCACAGAGTCGCCATGAGTCAGGGCCATGAGTCAACAGCAGCTTGTGGGAGAAAGATGTTGAATTTTCCCATAGGAGTCTAACTTGGCAAATGGAGATGCTTTGCCCCTAGTTAAGGCATAGCACTGGGTGTGCTACCAGACTGGTCTCTTCCCAGCTGTGGGTATTGTATGCTTCAATTATAATTTCAGAAACCACCTCCGAAACAATTCAGTGGCAAATGCTTCCAAAAGAGATTATTGATGACCATTATTTTATAAATGTATACATGTGTAAAATTCTATCTAGAGATGTTGTTGTTGTTGTTGTTGTTAAGTACCGTGGAGTCAGTTCCAACTCGTAGTGACCCTGCACAGGGTTTCTGAGGCTGCAAATCCTTACCGGAGCAGAAAGCCTCATCTTTCTCCCACAGAACAGCTGGTAATTTCGAACTGCCGACTTTGAGGTTGGCAGTCCAATTCGTAACCACTACGCTACATCTAGAGATGGCTTTTCTAAATTGAAATCTCTCAAGAGTTTAGAGTAAAACACATCTTTCATCGATCGTGGGTGACGTCTGCCATACTTCAGTTGTTGTTGTTGTTGTTAAGTGCTGTCGAGTCGGTTCCGACCCATACTTCAGTACAGACATGGAACTAGAAGAGTAGTCACCCAAGTGCTTGGTGTATATTACTCATTTCGTCCCCACAAGAATCCAGTGGGACAGGTGCTATTATGAACCCCATTTTACAGATAAAGAAATAGGA